TACTGGGTCTCTCCCACAGCTTAACATCTCTGTCCTTTGAAGCTGTCACCAGCAATTCAGGAAGCACATGGAGGGCTGTGACAGAACCCGAGTGAATCTGAGAGAAGGGAGAGAGCAGTATAGTGAATTCTCTCAGTGGGCCCTCCTCAGTTAAGGAAGCATCAGTCTGCTGTGTCAGACCTAGAGACTCCTCCCACATACTTGTGACCCTTCCCTCAAACTCACCTTTCTACGTTGCCGCGTTGTTAGATGTATGGCTGGTGAACAGCTAATTATGCTGGTATCTAATTCCTGGCATAGAGATTCCTGGCACAGAGATGGGTCTGTCCCTTCAGTTTGGGTTTTGGGCATTTTTACTTCTTTTTGCCATATGTTACCTGTGGCCCATTCTCCTTCAGGGGTGCATTTGGCCAGGTTCCACAGCATCCCATCAGAGCTGGCACACAAAAATGAGGACTCTGCCATTTCAAGGGCAGAGTTAGAGCCAAGTCTTAGGCCTTGAAGGATCTACCAACCTTCCCTAGACCATCTCCAGGCTCCTTGGGTCCTCCCATCACCACTCACCAGATTCAGGTTTGGCCTGAGTTATGGATAGTAGGGTCCTAGTAGGATTCTCTAAATTCAGATTAAATTCCAGACTCACTTCAAACTTTCCTGATTCCTTTTGCGTCTGTGAAAGAATAGGTAATTTAGTTTAGCCCACCCATATCACTCAGCTCTCAGACAAAGTAACAGTTCTCTATTCTGGTCTGGTCAGGAAATTTTTTTTTTTTTCAAACCTTAACTTAGATATAGTAAAGTGTACAAATCTGAAATATACATTTCAATGAATTTTTACACATGCATATGTCCATGCAATCACCTCCTAAATCAAGATGTAGACCATTTCCATCACCCCAAAAAGTTGCCCTCATTCCCCTTCCCAGACAATACCAGACTACCACCCCAGAGCTAACAATATTCTGACTTCTGTCACCATAAATTAGTTTTCCTGTTCTTGAACTTCATTTAAATGAAATCATATAGTATGTACTCCTTTGCTAGCAATTACAGAAAGATTTAGGTCTGAAAACTCAGCATGGATAATGATCCGGATACAGAAACAGAATTGCCCTTTACCCTAGACTCTACTGTTCAACAGAGTGCTTACCATTCAGGTGTAGCTATTTAAATTTAAATGAATTAAAATTAAATACAATTAAAATTCAGTTCCTCAGACATACTAGTGGCCACTGTATCAGACTGTACAGATTATAGAGCATTTTCATCATTGCAGAAGTTCTACTGAACAGTAATGAAAGAAGCATGTAACCTCCATTTAGCTATGGTAGGGTTTCCATGTCGTAATAACTTCGTATAGCATACATTATACGAAGTTATACGAGGTCCCAGAATGACAGTGACTCATGGAGCAGACTTGAACTACCTGAAGCCTGTATCCAGACTAGCCCAGCAGAGCCTGGTCAGTACTGGCCTGAAGACTCATGAGGAATATCAACAGATATTTATCTGTTGCTATAAAACAAGACCTTTTTTTTTTTTTTTTTGCCATGTAGCATTCCATTGTATAAATATGTGGCTATGATAAATAAAGCTGCTATGAACATTCTTATATCTGCCTTTTGGAGAACACACGCACTCATTTCTCTTGAGTACATATGATTATTTAGGAGTGGAATCACTGGGTCATGAATAGGCTTTAGTGGGTATCTTTAGTAGATAACAAGTCAGGTCAGGATTTAATAATCTTTCTAAGAACTAGGGGCTCCCAGGAAACTATATTTGAAGTGAACAACTGGCTTTGGCACACCCAAACCAGTAAGTGTTGAACGTCTATTAAATGATTGCTGAGTATGATAACAGCAACAATATGCAGTCCTTGTCCTCAAGACAAGAGATATGTGAAAAAAACACGATTAAGAAAACTCCTAGGTTTATGGTTTCCCAAGGTTTTTTAAACAGTAGAATCCTTTTCATACCAATAAAATCTTACATGGAAACCCAATATATAATGCTCTAAAGTAGAGCTGCTCCGGTTGAAGGAGGTAAGGGGATTTAGAGTCAATTGCCTTGCCCTCCTCTTTATCCTCCATTATGGGCCCCAAGGTTTAAAAAAAAACTATTCATAGGGGCTGGCTGGTTAGTTCCATTGGTTAGACCACAGCCTTACAGCGCTAAGATCATGGGTTCGGATTTCCATACCAGCCAGCCACCAAAAAAGAAAAACAAAAAACTGGTCATAGACAAATGTTTGTTTTAACACACACCCAAACGGAACTTACCAAAAGAACTCCATGTTCCGTGGGCTGCAGGAAAAACACACCATATTCCTTGTGGGTGTACAGCATCATAGGATGATTTGTATAGGTGTTCCTGGTTTATCAGAAAGAAAAAGGCTGAGTCCAGGACTTAAAGAGAGAATTACCCTTCCTCAGTGTTTCCTTCTAAGTTAGACTCAACTTCAGAGTAACTACTAACCCACTTTTCCTCTTTCTCCAGTTTTGAAGGAAATGGCATTCTGGATCTTACCAAATTATAGAGGGATCATCCCCTGGCTTCATGTGCAGTAATTTCATATCCGCTTTGGCCAGGATGAGGGAGTGACCATCAGGGGCCAGGCCTAGACCTGTGAGCATCCCTAAGTCTTCCTGCAGAATTCGGTTCAGGTGAAGACTGTAGCTCAAAATAAGTACATGGACAGAGAAAGATTCCACTTTAGTCAACCTCTCTCAGGCTCCCCAGTCCCCCATGAATTCCTTAGGAGTGAAGAATAAAGCAAAATGTATGTCTTCCCTACAAGTCCTGTTCTTCTTTCTGTTTTTCTTATATTAGTATTCATCATCACCATCTCCTATTTGCTTAAACCAGGAATCTCTAACATTTTTTGTCTTTTCCTCCTCCTCTTACTTTCAACTGATCAATAAGCCCTACATATTCTACTTGCAACCCACGTCTAAATATGTATCTCTCCTTCTAATCTCCACTGCCCAGGTCAGGGCCCACATTATGTCTTCCCTGAGTTATAGCAACAGCTGTAAAAGTGATCTGCCTACCTTCAGTATCTCTCTGCTACTATCCATTCTCCATACTGCCATCAACCAGAGTTCTCTTTCTAAAACTCAGATCATTATTCCAATAAAAATTCTTAGCACTGTGCCTTCTACAGCCTGGCCCCGGTTTATCTTTTCAGTCCAATTCCCCACAACTCCCACCATGAATATAAGGACTTGGCTATACCCAGAATACACCACACACGCTCATGCCTCCATGCCTTTTGTTAATGTTACTTTCTCTTCCTAAAACACTGTTCCCTTCCCTTACCGGTCCAGAAAACTCCTACTCATTCTTTAAGCCCAACCTCAAATATCGAATCTTTCCTACCATTTTTCAAATTCTGCATATATGTGCATGTGTGTGTGTGTGTGCACATATTTTCATTATAGCACTAATCAGTCTGAATATTCATGGTTTAATTATACACACATTCCTCTACTGTGAGCTCCCTTGATTAAAGAATGTTTCATTTGCATCTGGTTTAGCTGCCTGGCTCAGAGCCTGGCATCAAGTAGGCACTAGAGAATCATTAACTGAAATTGACATGGTCAGGAGCAGAAAATAATTTCCTGCTCAATAATTGGTATCCTATTGCCTAGTTCAGAAGCAGAAGTGGTGTTATTGAAGTAAAATCCCAGGTATGAGGAGACCATCATTCCTATTATATTAACCCAGCTGCCTTGTTTCACCTGAAATTTCCGAGTGTTGAACCCTTCTGCAGTTCCA